GGTACGTAGGGTGGTTTAGGAGAAAAGATGAGCGCCTGGTGGAAACTTGATACATGGTGACTGTGATATGATTTGGGTGATTGGAGATGTAAGGTTTTTCTCTTCTTCATTTGAGCAAAACATTTCTCACCATTGACCTCCTGTTTGACTGATGACAGAGGTCAAGAGTGGGCTCCAGGTGTGGGAAGTTCTCTCCAATTTCTGTTCATCGATTCCGCTCTTGGCACCGGCCTGTGTCTCTCAGCTAGGAGAAAAACAACCACTTCCTCCCTGTTGTTACCCAAGAGCTCTCCTCAACCAGGAAAATAGACACCTTCTTTTGTCTGTCCTGCCCCTCCATTTTTAGCCATTTGAAAGTGTACAGTTCAGCGGCCTTAAGCACATTCATTATATTGTGCATCCATCACTGCTGTCTATTTCCAGAACATTTTCATCACCCTAAACAAAAACCCTGTGCCTTTTAAGCAGTAACGCACCCCTTGGTGGCTTCTGTTCCCCTTTCTGTCTCTGAGTTTGCCTGCTCCAGATGCCTCACTGAAGCAGTGAGATGGGGACAGTTCAGCCGAGAGCGGGTCCTGCAAGTAAGGAGTATGGGTCTTCTTCCAAGCTGGATGAAAACCACTGGAGTGTTTTAAACAGGGATGTAGCACAATTGGAGGTGCATTTTAATTTTCATTCTTTATTTAAAAGATTATTTATTTATTTATTCAGGGGGGCGGGCAGAGACACAGGCAGAGGGAGAAACAGGCTCCATGCAGGGAGCCTGACGTGGGACTCGATCCCGGGACTCCGGGATCACACCCTGGGCTGCAGGCAGCGCAAAACCGCTGCACCACTGGGACTGCCTAATTTTCATTTTTTTTTTTTAAGATTTTGTCTGTTTGAGAGACAGAGAGAGCACACAGAGGGAGAAGCAGACTCCCTGATGAGCAGGGAGCCCAACGTAGGGCTCAATCCCGGGACCTTGAGATCATGACCTGAACTGAAGGCAGATGCTTTTTTTTTTTTTTTTTTTTTTTACTTATGATAGTCACAGAGAGAGAGAGAGAGAGAGGCAGAGACACAGGCAGAGGGAGAAGCAGGCTCCATACACCGGGAGCCCGATGTGGGATTCAATCCCAGGTCTCCAGGATAGCGCCCCGGGCCAAAGACAGGCGCCAAACTGCTGCGCCACCCAGGGATCCCTGAAGGCAGATGCTTAATGGACTGAGCCACTCAGATGCATCCCTCCGAGGTACATTTTTAAAAGAATCTCTCTGGCTGTGGAGGAGCCAGTAGTAGGTAGGGGTAGGAGTGGAAGCAGAAGCCAGGTGGGGAAGTGGTGGGTGCTGGCCCAAGGCGACAGAGCCATGGCAGTGAAGACCTCTGACGAATCAGAAGGGGGGCAAGAGAAAGGGGAGTGAAGCATGAGTCCTCTGGAGGATGACATCCTCCTCAACTCTCCTTGCCTCTAAGCCTTCCTCTGAACTGTTCCCTCTGCCTGGATGTCTTTTCCTCCCCTTTGCCTGGCCAACTCCTACTTGGGATCATTTCTCACTTAGCTCTCCTGCCCTCCAGGAAACCTTCCCCTCCTCAAGTACAGCTTCGGAACTCCTTGGCCCTGTTCCCATGACAGCCAGGTTCACACATGGTGGCTCCAGCATCAGAGGACACCACAGCCGGGACACAGGAAGCCAGTTGGAGACGGGAACTGAATCCCACTGGAGCGCTCCGTGTGCTCCATGTCAGCTGCTCCCAAGTTCCCAGTGCAACAGGTGAAGCAAGAAAATATGTAGAACTTCAAGATGAGATAGAAGCAAGACAGGGAGAAGCCAGGAAGCAATAGGACCCCTGCTTGGGGCACAAACCCTGGTCCCCCTGGCCTGGTTTCAGGCGGCACTCTGCCCTCTTCTCCCTGCATGGCTCCGTGCCAACAACGTACCCTTCCCAGCCTCTCTTCCTGATGTGTAGCATGGGGGTAGCAAGTGCACCTGATTGCAGGGTCACTGGGAAAATCAGGTGTTATTATTAACTGGGAAAGATTTGCTACAGGGCCTGGCATGGAGGAAGGCCTTAGGAAATGCTGGTTTTACTTATCTTTCTTCTGCCAAGTTCTTCCTTTTCCTTCTGAACAGAATGACTCAGGGGCTGATTATTGCAAATATTTTCTTCTCTTCAGTGTTTGCTTTTGGCCCACTTGGAGATCTGAATTAGAGCCTTGTCATGCCAGGAAGAGAGCATGACGGAGCTTTGGAATCATTTCTGACACCTGCATGGAGCTGGTGCTGTCCGCCTATGTTCAGATGACTCAGGAGCCCAGAGAGGCGAGGGACCCATCAGTTGCCACACAGCACGTAAGTAGGAGCATTGGGGTTTGAGCCCAAGTGGGCCTGTGATTCCACGGTTTCCCATCCCACGTGCTGCTGTCTGTAGGGCTGAGATGTGACCCTGGGCATCACTGAGACTGTGTAAAGGACGCTGCAGAAGGAAACAAAAAGCAGATGAATAAACCATTTGTTTGTCAGGCTCACAATTGGCTCCGGGAGTGAAGAATGCCAAACCCTGATGGTGTAAAGCAGGATTATCTGTGGTGTCTCTACTCTGTCTCTACCCTGGCTGTCCTTACTCCTCTTTGTGATGAACAATGGTTGAAAGATGCCCCCACTCCTCTAACTGGTGCCTGCTGACTCCCAGGAATGGGAGCTGTTGTATTCCATCTCTTAGAGCCTTTGTCTGTTCCAAGGTTATTACCAAGAGCTTATGGAGGTAGAGGTAGAGAGGCTGAGCAGGAGGTGAAGAATAAGGAGGCTGGAGACAGACTGAGGATGCAGTTGGCTTTAGGGAGGAAGAAGCCACTGCAGCCCCAGGCTCCCAGATCCCTGGGGTGGCAGTGAGTGGACTCCACCCAAGTCCCCTGGGTCCCCTGGTGGGAGGGGGGGCACAGCTTGACCTGTGGGCAGGAACTCACTGAGCCTGGGCCATGGTCACTGGACACTGGGGACAGGGGCTGCCACACTGACTCATGAAGTCCTTTGCAGCTGCCCGTCAGACCCCATGTGCTGCCTGAGAAAATGGACAAGGGGGAGAAGAAAGGCAAATTCGGATCCCCAAGAGTCCTCTCTGAAAGGGAGGAGGTACAATCATCTCCAGGCTGGAGGGGAGCATGAGGGGGCTGAGCCCTGGGGCCCAAGGGACTGGGTTCAACTCCTCCTCCCTCCCTTTGAGACAGACTTCCACTGTCTCATGGGTTTGAGGATACATCTCTGTCACACACCTGCTGGTGGTGAGGGTGCAGCGCAACATGCGGACGTGTGTGGAACATAGTAGGTGCCCAGCAAACGGCTCCTTCCATCTTCCTCCTTGTCATGAATCAGGTGCAGGGAGAGGACAGCGCCCCAGAGAACGGAGAATGCTGGTGCGTCAGAGCGCGAACGATGGCATTCATCACACGGACAGATGGTGACGGAGCACTCATTAAGTGTTGACTGCGTGAAATGATGCTGCCCACGTCTGTTTCACTCTTCACAAGAGCCCGATGAGCTAGAAACTTATCCCCATTTTATAGATAAGCAAACAGGAGCTGAAGTTGGGAACTTGTCTCAGGTCTCCCCACCCATGAGCTGGAGATGTAGGCAAACCCACTTTTTCCTCACTGGGGAGATGGGGATAATATTCACTACCTGACCAGGTGGTGAGGACTAAGCCCGACAACTCTGGCTGAGTGCCTAGTGCAGCATCGGTGCCCAGGGAATGGGCAGCCCCCGCCAGACTTCTGAAACAGTCTTGCCTCCCACCACAAACTGTGTGTCTGCTGTTGAGTGAGGAGAGAGGAGAGGCATGTTCTCTTCCAGACTCAGAGACCACCCCCCATCCCCACTCCCCACCCCACCCATGTTCTGGAAGGTATTCGTAGCCATGAGAGTGCAGCCTTCAAGCTGCTGCTGGCACGGGCCGAGGGCTCACAGGAGGTAGGGATGCCCCCCACCCGGAGTGCAGGCAAAGGCACATCGCAGCCCATATTTTGAGGGGGATTTCAAGATACTCATTTTGTGTTGTCACCAGAGCAAAGTAAACCGCAGCTCCTGGCTGCCGGGGAAGGGCTGAGCTCCTGCCAGGGCTGGTTGTGCCTGGCACCAGCCCAGGCATGTACCAGAGTCGGCTGTGGGTGCAGGCAAGTGTACACACAAAAACATTTCAGGACACGCGTGACCAGCCACACGCGGGGCTGCCGTAGCACCCAGCACCCGGTCTGCCTTCCCCTTCTCGTCGCTTCCCTTGTCTGGGGCTCTCTGCCTTTTCTGTGGTCTCTAGATCCCTGTAGGTTCCGAGCCTGTCCTCTTGCCTGGTTTCCTTCTCTCCCTTCCTCTGACTGTCCCTCCACCCGCCCCCCAACGCCGTCTCTCCGGTGGCCCCATCTCTGGCACTCTACGTCTCTCCGTTTTCCTGCGGGCTCCTTGTCTGGATCCCGCCCTGTCTCTCCGACTGTCTCTTTCTCTTTCTGATCCTCTTTGAATCTTCTGTTTCAGCTTCTCTCTCTGTGTCCCCATCTGTCTCCAGATCTGTCCTGTCTGACTCTCTCTCTCTTTCTCTCTCTCTCTGTCCCCATCTGTCTCTGTGTCTCTCTGTCTGCTGGTCTCTGGCTCTCTTTCTCTGTCTCTCTTTCTCCAACACTTTCTGTCTCTGCCCTTCCCTACCTCTCTCTCTTTATTCCTGTGACTCTCTCCTGGAAACGCATCAAAGACTGAAGTGGCCGGATTTCAAGTGACAAACAGCACTACACCCAGGATCCAGCCCCCTCCCTGCACGGCTGCTTTCCTCCTCCACATCCCCTGTCACGAAGAGAAGCCTATTGTGTGGGGCCCAGGGAGTTTGAGTTGAAGGGCCCGGGGGTCTGCGCCTCTGACTGCTCTGAGCTACTTCCCCATTGGCTCCCAGCAGCTTGTGCTCAGCAAGGGCTGAGCGACAGGGGGAGGCTCTAGTCCATAAAAGGGGGGGCGAGGCACCAGAACTGCCATTCTGAGGGGCTTTGGTGGTGCTCACGGCCGCCTCTTTGGCACCTCCTTCGGAGCCCGAGTCTGGGAGACCCCTGAGTCTTGAGCCAGCCACCTGCCACCACCCTACGACCTGCTCAACCAGAAGCTGCCCGGGGACAAAGCAGGGCACAGGTAATGTCTGGAGGGGCACGAGAATCTCTCTTTTGATCATATTTGTTTTTCCTTGTCCTCTGGACCTGGGGGGGTGGTAGGAGCTCGGGCTGGGGGATTTCAGGTCTGGGGCTGATAATCTGGCAGATACAGTTACAGTTACGAGGCTGGGTTGCGAGCGCCAGATCCGTCCGTGTGAGACGGATGGTTCTTCGGAATCCGCCCTCCGCACAGCCCCGGCTTAAACAGGTGGGTTCTTCTCTCCCAAGAGGACCACCCCTCCGTGTCAGCTCCAGGGTCATCTTCTTCCCCAGCAGCCTGCACACACAGTTCCCATCTGAGGATGGGATGCCCTGGGTGGAAGAAGTGAGTTTGGCCCCTCGGGAAGGTTTTAAAGGTCAGTGATTCTCACCGGACTCACAGAACAAGGTCTGAGGGGACGTTAATGAGATTCAGGGCTCTGGCATTTACCAGGTATCATGTACATCACTGTACAGCCAAGTTCAGCCTTTTCATCCCTTTTTGGATCATGTTTAATTTTTGACAGGGTACTGGCTTGAGTGGTTTCCTTTGACATCATTTACACGGAAATGAAGTTTGGGGCTATTTTGTTGGGAGGGAATGGGGAAAGAGTGACAGCATGCCAGGAGACTCAGGCTTCGCAGTATTTTTCTTGTCAATTTTACTTTGAAAGGACTTGTTGCTCTCATGTAAATTAGAGCCTGAGAAGTCCAAGTTGGGCAGGGAAAAGATGCTCAGAGGGGAAAGCCATTTGCTCACTGGTAAAGACATCCCTGTCCAAAGAAGAGTATTATTGATTCCCAAAGTTTGACTCTAGCAAAAAAGCTGGTGAGCTTCAGAGAAAAGAGAAAAAGGGAGAAAAAATGCTTGGTGACAACCCAGAGGTTGAATAGTAGATTCTGTGACCCTATACTTTTTCCTGGGTATCTTTTATCTAGAATCTCTCCAAGCTTTACAAACATTCCTTAATTAAGCCTCCAACCTTCCCAGGGGAAACAAGCTCTTCAGGTTATTGGATCTGATTTCAATTCCCTTCCCACAGACTGAAAGTCTTCATTACCGTCTTTCTTCCAAGGGTTGGTAAAATATACAAGTCTTTCTAATTTGACAGGCATTCCGGTCAAGATCCACTGCAAATGTTTCAGAATGTCAACCCCTGGCCTCCCCCTCCCACTGCCACAGCTCCCTCTCTTTCCCCCTTCTTCCTCCCCTCAATCCCACCCCACCTTGCCTTTTGTTCTATTTTTTGCAGGTCATTTATCTCCAGGCTTTGAGATCTGCGTGGGGGAGCTGTTGCAGCAGCCGAAGGGTGAGCTGCGCTGCCTGGGGGAGGTTTGCGTTTGCTGACGGGATCTCAAGCCCACTGCTTTGCCCCAGATGAGCTAGAGGTGTGATGGGTGGCGGGCGAATCCCGTGTCTCCGCTGGCAGCTGGGAGTGGGATGTCGCAGTGCTTCCTGAGGCATGTTTTAGCAGAGCAGGCAAAGGGACGGGCTTGGGGGCTATTGGAGGCAATTTGCAATCACCATAAAGCAAATGGAAAGGGATGAGGGTCTTGGGATAACTCCTGGGAGCCAGGAATGTTCCATAGATTGTCTAAATGTGCGTCTCACAATACCCAGATCTGGGGTCAAATCCCAGTCTCACCACTCATTTGCTGTGTGATTTGGGACAACCTGCAGCTGAAGGTTCATTTCCTCACCCACACGGTACGGATAATAGTATTCACCTTATTGTGAAACTCCCATTGGGTACTCTAATATGCCTGGCATTCAGTAGGTACTCAATGAGTGCTAGTGTGACTGCTCAAGTTCCCACCGTCTAGAGCGCAGAGTTGGGCCCCTTTCCCCTCAATCTGTTATAATATCCCTCATCATTCCACACCATCCAACTGTGAGCTACGTCAGTGTCTGTCCGTGTCTGTGTGTGTGTGTGGGGGGGGGAATAGGTCCAGGAAATAGGTCTCGTATTTCAGTTTGCAGGGCTGGCACTCCCCTCCCCTCCCCATCCCGTCCTCTCCACACCAACAGAAGACCATTTCTTCATCTGTTGCCTCAGGATCATGAAGTCTTCCATATCGATCCTCCCTAGCCCCCCTCCCACTGCCTACCTCCTTGGGCCATTCTTGCACAATTGTTGTATTTATTAGATGTCTTCCATCATTCTAAGTGGGATCAATAGTTGGCGGTTTGATTTCAACTCGTGTCTGAGAAAGTGCAGTCAGCTAGCTGATTTCTCTCACCGTTTTCGTTCATCTCAGCCCATAAATGTTGGTTAATCTCACGGCGTCTGACAAAGGTCTAAAACGATTTCACTGAGACAGGGCTGGCCATTGTGGTGGCAGTAAATATTTCTGGAGACACTCAGCAAGCCCAGGATCAGGCCCTGGAGATGGAAAGGTGTCCTGGGTCCTTTGATGTTGGGCCTCATAAATCCTGCCCCAGCCCAGGTCCAGATTGATGCTCCTGGCAGGAGGTAGATGGCCCAGATCCACGAGGCACATATCCGGGCTCGGGACGCTTCTCCAGGAGGCCATCCAGCCAAACCCATGGCCGGAGTGGGGGGCTACAGGCATGTTCACTGCATTTGTCCACCGTCATTTGGCTCTTTGACTAAATGAACCTGTTGACCTGTTACTGGATAGTTCTGTTTAAGCTGAGAAGGGTTGAGTGAGTAGTTATGTGATTGGATCTCTGGTCCACCGGCAGGAGGAGGAACTGATGTTTGTGATTCCCACAGTAGGTCAAAGCCCTGGATCCAAGTCCACTTTCTGTCCTGCCTTCCCTGTCTCTGGTTCTGTGCCCTCCCCTCCTCTTTTCTCCTCACCTCCCCACCTCTGCTCCTCCGTACCTTCTGCCTCCGGTTCCCATCACCTCTCTCACTGTTTGTTCTTTCATCAGTTCTCTGCTTCTTTGGTGTGTTTATCTCTTTCTCTGTGTGCGAGAGTCTCTACCACTCTAGTTGGCACACCCCCGTGTATGTGCCTCTTTGTCCCTGTCTTCCTCTCTGTCTCTGCCGCCCTCTCTGTCTCTGTCTCCCTCTCGGTCTCTGTCTCCTTCTCTGCATCTGTATTCCCATCCCTCTCTTTGCTTTTCTCCTTAACCCTTAACTGCATCAAATAACCAAGGGTATGACTCCTGCTCTTAAAAATCATTCTTTTAAAACCCCCCATGACCACCGAGGGCAGGGCTCCTTCACTCTGGTCTCTGAACAGCAAATGGCCCAAGAGAGAGGGCCAGCCCTGAGGGTGGGCCCTCATTACCATGTTCTCCGCTTTGATTCTTGCTGGACTACATGGTAGTTTCACTTACCATCTGATTTCTGAGCCCCCCGTGTCCCCCGGTTGAGAATCCATTCTTTGTCAATGACTCTAAAGGCCTCACAGGAACACTGTCCTCCACTTTTCAGGATCTGCCTTTGCCAGTCCCTGGAGACCTGCAGAGGTGAACTTTGTGTGTTTTCTGGTGGGATAGAAGTCCAGCAACTATCTCAGCTTCAGGAATGTGAGAGTTTGGTAGGAGGGTCCGCTGGATAGCCAACGTGACCACACACCTCAGGGAAGGTTTGTGGGTGGAGCACAGACCAACTTTCAAGCCTGCTTCTGCTATGTCCTTGCCTCTTGGCCTGGACCTGGTGATTTTGTCTCTCTGAGACTCTCTTTCCTCATCTGGAAAATGGGGCTCATCATGCCAGCCTCGTGGAATCTCCTGAGGGTGAACAAGCAATAATTGAGCTGAAATGCAGAGCGGTGAGTTGGCCCCCATGGCTGTGTCTTAACCAGGGATGGACTTGGAGAGCCCAGCTCTGCCATGCATGTGCTCAGGACCCTGGGGCCCTTAGTCACTTGGTTCTCACCCTTCCTTCCTGGAGCCTGAGCCTGTACCAGTAGCAGCTACCCCAGGAGGGGCCACAGGAGGCCACAGGTCTGGCACAGAGCCACCGTGCAGTACTCCAACAAGCTGCTATGAGGCAGGTTGTTGGGGGGTCATTGAAACACCATCTCCTCAGTGCAAGTCACCGCCTGGGGGTGGGAGGCCCCAGCTCTGTCTCCACTTCCCTCCTGACTCATGATGTGACCTTAACAAGTGACTTCATTCCTACCTTTTCCCATTTCCTCTTCTATCAAATAGGGATAATCATATGCGATAAAGTGCCGGGAGAGATAATTGCAATGTTAAATCAAGCCATTATTATTCCATGCTGGCTTTTTAATGCTTGCTGCTCCTCTGAGCCCTCTGACTACAATATAGAAATATCACCAAAAGGAGATGAGAGGGCGGGCAGGCAGTCCCTTCCCTTTCCAGGAACCCTGGGCCCTGGGTAGGAGAGAGGACTACTGTGTGCTGGCCCTTTGAGCGATGCTGTCACTGGGGCAGCCCTGGCACAGGGCAAGGGGTGATGCGTCCACTTCAGGGACAAGTGAGAAGCGCAGGCTTGAGGAGGGGAATGATTCCCCTCTGATTTTTCCCCAGAAAGTCAGCTTCAGAATGATGAGAATAAATAGAATTAGGAAAATGATTATAAGATTAGTAAAAGCAGGGGTCAGCAGACCTGGTCGGTAAGAGACCAGCTAGTATATATTTTGGGCATTCGGGGCATCCAGTCCCTGTCTCAACACCCAGCTGTGCTTTTGCAGCATGAGAGCATTGGGTGTGTTCCCAGGGCTCCCCAGAGAAATGGAAACAATAGGATGTGAACATGTAGAGAAAGAGATTTGGTAAAAGAATCCAGTGATTGATGGAGGCTGATGAGGCCAAAATGTCCTCTCCTGCCCCCCACCAGCCCCTGCATCCCTCACTGGGCTGTCACAAAGCCCATGAGGTAGTGGCTGAGGAAGTCCCATAGATCTGCAAGGAAAGTGGGTTTTTCTTTGGGAAGGCTGCTGGGAGGCCCCCCTGGCCCACCCAGCCCATGAAAAGAGGTGCCTCCTTCCCTGCAGGCCATGCAAGCAAGCTCCCCATTGGGGTCTGTGCACCTCAGCCCACCACATGGGCTTGCTTGCGCTTCTCACCCCGTGAGCTTCCAAGTTCCTTTTCTTCTCAGTTCGTTCTGGATGGGAGTTGAGGGGCAGACAGGGCTATCTCTGATGGATGAGAGCTCTCCTGAGCAAATCCCCTGAGCAAAGGTGAAAATGCTCCTGGAGGACCCATCTGGCAGTGCACAATAATTTGTTTATCCTACAATAGAAAGGAAATAGGATTGCTTGGGAAAAATCTCAGGGCTTATGTGTCTTTATTAGAGTCACCTTTTAACCCAGAAAGATCTGGTCAGAAGCCTAACTCCCATTCACAAGCTAAGTGAACTTGGGCAAGCGACTTCTCCTTCTCGGCCTCAGTCTTCTCCTCTATATAAAGGGTATAAAGACGTTTGCTCCCACCTTGTGGTGAGGACGAGAATCACGTGTGTGAAGGGGGAACACACAACCTGGCACCCAGTGGGCTCTTGAGCTGTGGTGGCTGTTACTGGACTGATGTGACCATGAATACAGAGCTCTCATCCCTGCCTGGCACACAGTAGGACCACCACATGTGGAAGTTCATTCATTCAACAACTTGTTTTTTGGAGTTTCACCTGTGTGTGTTCTAGGCCTTTGTTATCACTCCTTTTGGCCTCTTTCTTTTTGTATCTCCTGTAGTGCAGGAGTTGTATCTCCTGTAGTGTAGGAGCTTTCATACTCCACTATTTAAGCACCTACTATGTGCCAGGCACCCTGCCCGGTATGTCCTGTGCATGATCTCTTATTTAATTCCCACACCAACCCCCTGGTACACTATTATTAGCCCCATTATGTGACCAAGGAAACAGAGACACAGCAAAGTTAATTTTCCCAGACGGGGTGGGGGTAGAGTCGGGGTCTGAATCCATATAACTAAGCCCTTGGTGATTCTGCTTCTGGGTCAGGAAGGGATTGGAGGTGCTCCTTTCCTTTCTGCTTAGAGGAACCCTCTGACCCCACGGTGCTTCTCCAAATTGTTAGAATAGGCCATGCAGGGGCTGCAAAGTCAACTGTCTGTCAAATGCTTGGCAGCAGACACAAGGGAAACTGCCAGGTAGGGACATTGGTGACCAAGCTGCAAGTGTCATTTGGGTGACAGTTGCCATACGGCAGCACGGGCCCGATGTCTCCAGTACTTCTGATTTTTTAAAGATAAGTTGGAAATTAAGATTTGAAAATTCCCCAATTTAAAAGTGTTGGCAACAGAATTAAAACCAAAAAGAAAAAACCCCTGTGCAAGTCAAAACACCCAGTGCCATTTGCTGTTTGTTCCACCGGCCACCAGGCTGTAGCCTCTGAACTTTTGCCATGTGCAGGGAGAGTGCTGTGGTTGGGGGAGAGCAGGAGCCTCAGCCCTGCCCGTCTCTCCTGACCCCCATTGCTGCCTTGACCCTTCCTGGGCACTCCCATGCCCTTCAGGTCCCTCCCCAGTTCTTCCTGGGAAACACACTGAGACTTAGGGAGCCAGGGCCCTGATGGGGGGAGGGAGGTGTAGGGTGGTGGGGAGAGAGGGGCTTTGCTGGAAGACAGGGACTCGGACTCGGCCCTTCCCAGGACGAAGGAACCACAGCTCTGATCATGCCTTGAGCAAGTCTGGAAAAAAATCAAAGCCTCACAACAAAGCCCCTAATATTCAGCATGTGACCTGGTTCCTTCTGCCTCTCTTGTCTCCTGGGCCTTCCCTCTTTCTGTGCCTCCCGCCTGTCTCTCTCGCTCTTGTCTCTGTTTCTCCCTCCCTCTGTCTCTCTCAGGACTGTTTTTCACTAAGCCCGCCTCATCCCTCCCCACCCCCTTCCCCTTCCTGTCTGTCCTCTTCTCTTCCTCCCCCCCCCAACCTTGGCTCCCTGGTTTTCATAACATTTTCTCAATTTCCTCTAGCAGTGTTGACTCTAGACTGCTGCAGACCCCGTGAGGTTTCTCTGGGGGCATGGAGAGGTGCAATACAGAAAAATTCAAACTAAGCTTCCCAGATGTCCAGGGGTGATCTGTGTATTCACTCAACAAACCCTGGGCCGAGCTCTTGTTCACAATGGAGCCCCATGTGCTGCGCTGGGCACCCCATTCACTCCCCCATTCATTCATCAATCCTCAGATGGCCCTAGTCTTTCCACATTAGAATGAGGTGCAGACCCCTCACCTTAGCCTAAAGGTGCTAGGCCACTAGCACTATCTGGCCACAGCTCATCTCTCTGCTCTTCTACCCCAGTCTCCTGCCTTATGTTCTCTTATCCATCCTGGTATCTTTGTCATCCTCAAATGCACCACACACCCTCACTGTAGTGACTTTCACCTGCAGAGACGAAGCCCCCCACTGGTTAGAAACTCAGAAAGCAGGAGCACTTGTGTCATAGAGCCAGCATAGTGACTGTGGGAGTTCAGAAGGTCAGGCAGACTTCCTGGAGGAGGTAACCAAGGCTGAGTTTTGAAGAACAAATACAAGTTAGCCAGGTCAGTGGGAGATAGGAGTGGATGGGTGGGGTGAGGAAGGTGCTCCGGGAAGAGGGAATCCCTTGGGTGAAGCATGAAAAATGGGGTACATGGGGCACTATTTTGGAGTTGCAGGTGGTGTGGTCAGGCTCACATCAGACGAAGCTCACAGCCAGTCTGGGTGCTGCATATTTGCTGGGCTGCCTTAGACAGATGACATAGTCTCTGGGCTTCCATTTCCCTGCCTATAGAATGGAAAGAATATTAGTCCCAGGTTTATGGGATTGTTATGAGACATCCTTCCATTAAGACACAGCTGAGGCTCAGCACAGCCCGGCATGCAGTGAGCACCAGTCAGTGCCAGCTCTGCTTGGTGGGAAAGCCCTGGAGCAGCTAGCTAAGGGGCAGCCTTCCTCTCAAGGTCAGTGGAGAGCCGGGAAGCAGGGCAGGGGTGCAATCAGGCTGGTAAGAGCAGAGGCTCCCTGGAGCCTGAGCCAGAGAAACTGGAGACTTGGGCTGGGAGTGGGGTAGACTGGAGGAGCCCGGCCAGTGCCCTGTGGTAAGAAGATGGGCTCGAGTTAGACGCCCCCCAGATACAAATCCCAGCTTTGCCACTTACCAGCTCAAGAACATTGGCAGCCTTCTTAACACAGTCTTCTGATCTGTAAAGTGGGAGCAACAATGGGACCCACCCCAGAGAGTCGCTGTGGGTACAAATGAGTTCGCTTGTGAGAACACCTCAGAACATCATGAGTAGTTAACAACCATCTGATCAGCTAGGATTATTATTAAATATGAAGTTAGTGGATGAAGGGAAAGGCCGCTGACATTATTTTTGCCTGGGACACAAAGGATCTCTGATCAGGCCTCCTAACCTGGAAGCCACGCCGTGTGGGAAGCATCAGGCCAGGAGGTGTGTGGTGTAGGCTTCTCCTCCCCTGCAGGTAATTCACTGCTGATCTTGTACTGAGCCAGCCCTGCCATCACCATCCGCTGATATCAGAGAAAACACAAACTGCCTGCTTTGCATCTGAGCATAAAAGGCGCTGCTTGGTCTCCTGGAACCCCAAGCCACTCAGCAGGTGGTAGAGCATGAGAGAACATGGGGGGTGAGGAAGGCGAGAGAGGTGGGATGGACCCACGTCCACTCTTCTGGGTTTTCTTCTCTGAGCCTCCCTGCTTTGTGGAGCAGAATGTGCCCAGCCTCAAGAGAGGCCTGGGTTCCCACCTTCAATCGCTATGTGACCCTAGATCTGCCAGGCCTCTCTGAGCACCTGTTTTCTCATCTATAAAGTGGGGATGATGAGGGGCCAGGCCTGACCCAGCCTAACAGGTCTGACTGCAGGATTGCCATGCTGCGCAGGGCATTTCAGGGCGGACAGGGGGGATCTGAGAAGGAACTGGAGGCAGGGAGGCCCACTTGGAGAAGGTGGAAGTATGGCCACGGTAAGTAGAAGTGCTGGGGTAAAAAAGGCAAATTCTAGAGAACTTACAAGGCAGATAGGACAGGCCTGGGGACAAGCTGAGAAGTCGGGGGCAAAGGCAGGGGATGGGGCCTCAGAGAATCTAGGAAAGCAGATGCCGAATGTCTTCCCGCTCGGTAGGTGGGTAAAGTGGATTTTGAAGGCTGGCAGACCCAGATCAAGTCCTGGCTTGTCTGTTGCCTGACTGGTGCTGGTGATCGCTTCCCCTCTTGAGCCTCGACTTCCCCATCTGTCTGATGAAAATAGACAGACCCTCCTCCAGAGCTGTCGTGCAGATGGAAGGTGAACAGGTGGGAAAGCTGCTGGCACGTAGCAGGTACTCAGCACATTAATTCTCTTCCTTGGCCCCCAACTTTGGGCACCCACTGTGCCTCCCTGGGCCTCTATTTTCCTGACTGTGAGATGGGAATGAGAACAAGAACGTTAGCCTTACAGTGTTGCCCGCAGGGGTCAATGAGATAGCTCAGGACACCCATGCAGAGTAGGCGCTCACTGGTTCATTATCTTCTCTTTCTCCGTCCCCAGCAGGAAGTGCTGAGCCAGCATGGTGTGGCAGGGGCTGCTGCTGGCCGCCTGCCTCCTTGTGCTCCCCTCTGCCACAGCGGACTGCCTGTCCCAGTGCTCCTTGTGTGCTGTGAAGACCCAGGATGGGCCCAAGCCCATCGAGCCCCTGGTAGGTTTCAGGATGTCCAGGTCCTAGGCCCACGTGCAGAAGGGACATCTGTGTGCAGGGCATGGACAGACAGCTGTGTGTCCTGTAGGCTTGTCCTACTAGTGCAGGACACATCCTGCCCCGGGGTAGGTCTGATTACCCGGGGCTGCAGGTTCCCACCTCCATCCCCACCTCAGACCTTACCACCACTGCCTCGTTCAGGTCTGGGACCTACAATGCAGGTTTCCAGGGAGCCTGATGCCCGGCAACAGGGAGGGCCATTAAGGAGGCTGTGCTGGGTGAGAGTTGGCAGCCTTCTGGTAACTTTCCAGGGCTTCTTACCATTCCCAATCTAGTCACTCCTACAGAAGGAGGTCTTTCCAACACCACTAAATGCCAGGATCCAAGGCTTGACCCCTCTCCTAGGTCTCAGCCTCTCTTGACCTGGCCTTGTTAGCTTTGCTTTGACTCAAACTCCCCCACGTGTCTCTCCTTTGATGGCAGACAGGTGAGACTAAAGGTCCCAAGGGTGTGGTGGACAGAGCACAGGCTTTGGTTCTGCCACTTTCTCACTCCACGACCCTGGAACTCATCCCTCTTCAGTTTCCACATCTGCAATGTGGCGGTGATTCTATGAGCTAACAAGGCAAAGTTCTAGACACGCAGTCCTAGAGGTTCTTCATTGAGAGGCATGCTGGGTGCCAGCTGCTGCCTGCTCTCAGTCACTGGAGAGCACAGTGGTTAGGCATGAGGGCTTATGGCATTAGCCTGCCTGGGTCCAAGTTCCAGAATTATCCAGTATTGTCATTTTCATCCTCAAGACCATCATTGTGATCACGTTTGAATTCCCCCAGCATTCCTATGAAGGAGCTACTTTTATCCCCTGGGTTTGATGAGCCCTCAGACCCATCACATGTGTTCTCTCCACCATCCTGCATGGTTCCGTGCCTCTCTGTAATGTGTTAAGAACATCCTTCACACCTGGGGAAGGTGGGGAGAACCGAGTACTCCCTCTGGAATCAAGCTGAAGAGGATGAGTGAGTGCACCAAAGAGCTCTCTGGGAAGATCTTAGCTGTGATGTTGGCATTGCCATCTGTAGCCACGTTTCCTTGGGAAAGCCGGTCCACTCTCTATGTCTCTCGCACGCAGGCATAGAGTCCCCTATCTTCATGCACCTCTCTGGGAGCATTAAGGTGGGAAGCCCAAACTTTAGTAATGGCAGATACTTTTTGATATTCTCAATAAGGGAACTCTCTGGGGCAAGGGAGTGCATATGACCTGGCAGTTGGATGGTGATGAGATCACCACTCTGGTCTTTTCGGGTTTTTGCAGATCTGTTCCCTGGAATGCCAGGCTGCTCTGCTGCCTGCTGAGGAGTGGGAGAGATGCCAGAGCCTTCTCTCTTTCTTCACCCCCTTCACCTTTGGGCTCAACGGCAAAGAAGACTGGGAGACCAAGGCCGCTTTGGAGGAGCCCTATAGTGAGCTGGTTAAGCGCCCTGAGCCCTTCCCGAAGGAGCTTGAGAAAAACAGGTTTTTGCTCAGCACCCCAACAGAAGAGAATGCACTGAGCAGGAGCCTGGCGGAGAAGCTCCGGGGTCTCTCTGGCAGGTTGGGGGAGGGAGGGGAGTCTGAGCTGATGGGGGACACTCAGCTAAATGATGATGCCATGGAGGCTGGGGCATTGGATTCCAATGAGGAGGACCCTAAGGAGCAGGTCAAACGCTATGGGGGCTTCTTGCGCAAATACCCCAAGAGAAGCTCAGAGGTGGCTGGGGAGGGGAATGGGGATGGGGATGCGGTGGGTCACGAGGACCTGTACAAACGCTATGGGGGCTTCTTGAGGCGCATCCGTCCCAAGCTCAAATGGGACAACCAGAAACGCTATGGAGGTTTTCTCCGGCGCCAGTTCAAGGTGGTAACTCGGTCTCAGGAAGACCCTAATGCCTACTCTGGAGAGCTTCTTGACGGGTAAACTCTTCCCCATTGTGGAGTTGAGTCAGGAGCTTCCCCTGACCCCCTCCCAAACTGGAGTTCCCTCATTCATCCTGCCGTATATCTCCGTCCCCATGTTGAATTCAGGCTTGTGTGCAAAGCACCTAAACCCAGCCTGCCTCTTTTATGCCTGGGGCACAGTGTTTGTCTGGGGTCAGTGAGGAAAAAGGATGGAGGTTCACCACCTCTCTAGTAGTCTCAGTGCTTGGCTCCAACTCTAGACCTTTGAAACTCTGGCCAACAGCAGCTTTTGCTATGAACTCCCCCCCCCATTAATGTGACTCCCCAGTTTCAGGAATCTAGACTGACTTGTTCTTCTTCCCTCTAGATAAATAGCAAAACAAGATAAATAAACAAATAGAAATCCTAGCACTTTATCCCAAACCAAATGGACCTCCTTGAGGAGACCATGCTTTAGGCAAAACGCTCAAACACTGCATTTTATTGGAGCAGGGAGTCTTACACGAGAGAGTTCAGTCCTCCAGTGGGCATGTGTTCAGTTGAGTTCTCTGCGTTCTCCTCATTTAGAAACATACCTCTTGAAGAACCAGGTTCCTGGACTCCAGTTCATGTTGGTACCTTGGATAGCACCCAGCCTCAAGTGAGACGAAGGGGCATGAAAACCCCTCCCCAAATGGTAATGAGAGCAGTCTTCCCACTGAATACTGAAATGATCCAGAAGGGAGCAAGACAAAGCAATCTGCTCTGTGCAGCAAACTCAAAATGTGGACCAGTTCCCTCAGCCCTCATTAAACTAATTAAACAGATCGGCATCACACTCCTACCCCAGGATGAACTGAAGCCGAGTCAAGTTGATGAGGTTAAGCACGACCATGTTCTTGAGCAGCTGAATTGGCCGCCAAGAGTCTTAGCCATCTGGTCAAACATATGCATTGGGCATTGGGTAAGGGAATCCAGAAGCAACAGCTAGAAAGACAAAAAGGCCCTTTTCAACCCCTGTGATGATTCTTTCCTCTTAATGTCTCAGAATAAAACCCGAAAGAGCCATGAAATGATTAAGTGCTTGAGGCCAAATGAATTCCCTTGATTCAGATAACCCAGAATCAGAGGCAGAGACCTCCCAATGCCTTGGTTTCAATCAAAGTCTTCTCTCTCTCTGTTGCTCTTATTTGCTCATCCCTAGGCACTATGATTTGGTTTGCAGGCCCAAGAGGCTGGACTGGATAGGAAAGGAAATGGTCTTGAATTCAGTTAATTTGTATAAGATGCTACTGAGCATACCTCTTCGTGTGCAGCCCCCAGATCTCATGATGTTCTGAAATGTGTAGATTGTTTTAGGGTTACTTTGTATGCTTTAAAAAAAATCCCACTTATGCAATTTACCCAGAATTTGCTTTATTCCTTAGCAGGCCTGTGTTATTTCCTACTCCTTCAGTGCAATAAATAAAAGAAAGATGGTGATGAGTCGGGTGTGCATGTGTGCGCCTCAGTCCCCAGAGTGTAGAAAGACCATTTGCAGAAAAGAGTGCTGGGGAATGAAAAATGCACACACACACACATGCACATTCACATCAGAAAACTAAGTGTAGGATGAGAGAAAGAGCACAAACTTTAGAGCACCATTGCCCTAAATTTGAGATCTGTGTGATGTTGGGTAAGTTATTTGACCTCTCTAAGCCTTAGTTTCCTCTTCTGTAAAAGAAAGACAACCCCCACCCCCGACTCCCAGGGACTTTCTCCTATGCTGAGAGGGGCAGATGTTGCTAGACAAAGGTGAAGAACCCTCTAGAGAGTGGGTAGCATAATGTCCTTTACTAAAATGACATGCTTTATTAAATGGCATCAAGGAGATGTCTTTAAATAGTGCTGGTGTGGAAGAGTCTCAGTGGCTCCAGACCTTGTGGGTCTGGCTTTCTGAGTGACTCTATAGAAAACACAGGACCAGGGAGGTCTCCCTCCTTCTTTCCTTCACTCAAGAAAGAATTAATTGAAAACTCTACTGTATGGTAGGTCTTTTTCTAGGTTCTGGAGGTACAGGAAAATGAAATGAACAAAGTCTCAGTTCTTACAGAACTCACAGTCTATGGCAGGGGGAGACAAGTAAACCAAAATAGAAATCTAAAGTGAAAAATTAAATTTAAAAAATAAATAAAATGTAATGAATTTAAAATTAAATATAAATGAAATGTAAAATAGTGGTAATTATTGTGAAGGGAACACTTGGGATTTAGTAATAATAGATAATAGAGGTAGGAAAGGAATATCCCTAGGGCATTCAGGATCCTTCTTGAGGAATATTCCATTCTCGATGTTCAGAGGATCATCAAGTTGGAAGGAACCTAAGGCTGGGATTATCTCCTCCAACTAGCTACTCTTTGCCAAATTGACACATTGATAATAAATTTTAACTTGGATTTCACAACCTATTGCTATTCCTTTATGATTCAGTGTGAGGAAGTTCTATCTTTATTTGGGTTGAAGTTAGATTTCTGTCCCTTTAATACATTGGATCTTGATCTTGCTGTCTATCAGCCCAGGAGCCTGTCTAGGGAAGAATTTTCTGTGACTTGTAGACAAATGGCTCCTAACTATCTCAAATGGGTCAAACGAACAAACAAACAAACAAACAAACAAACAAAACCCCAAGTAATTTGTTGGCTCACATAAATGAAGAGTACAGGATATTCGCTTTGAGTACAGCTTGAGCAAGGAGCTCAAAAAGAACACCAGGACTTCTCTATCACTAACCTCTTTTCTCCTCTGTGTTGAATTCATTCTAAGACTTCACATGCTTTTAAGATGCTACCATACCATGCAAGTTCAGGTCTAGTATGCTATTCTCACAGAAAATCCCCATCAAAGTGTTACTGTACCTCATTACCTCTGACTGTGTCATTCATTCTATCCTGAGCTAATGCCGATCATTATGGACAAGCCAATGCAATGCTCTGATTGTCGGGACTGAACGAACATGGATAGCCAGGGATCGATTCTACCCAACTCAAAGCAAGGTGGACTAGGAGTGGGAAAGAGGATGGTTTTTGGAGGACAACTGGCGCATGGTTCCCAATAGAAGAAAGAATAAATGCCAGCCCACCATTAATAGATGGTCACCTCCCCTAATGAGTGAAAGTAGCTGGGTGGGAACTGGGGCAAACTGGAGAGTGTGATGGGGAATATGGGCTCAGAGCAGCCAGATTTGATTTTTAAAAGACCACAGAAATCTGACTTTGCATTTTTTTTCATGTAAGTAATTTTTTAAAAGAAGTATTGAGTAGGACGAACAGTAACATGCTTGGGATGAGATGCATCACTTTCTTACCATTATTTTGTGACTTCTTTCTAAATTTTTTTAAAATAAGAAACACTTCTTTTTTGGGTTTTAAAATTTTCCTCATATGCCATGGATTCTTGAATGCTATTGCTCTGGACTCCCTTTTCTGGACCCATTTCACTTGATCAATGAGGCATGGCCACATGAGGTGGAAGAAACATGGTTGGGGTCCCAGAGACCTGGGTGAGGATCCCACTGTCCTGGGTGGCTCTGGGCATGCCGCTGCACTCCACGGAGCCTCAGTTGTGGGTTTTTAAAAACATTTGTTCATTTATTTTAGAGAGACAGAGAGAAAGAGAGTGTAGGGAGGGGCAGAAGGAGAGAGAGAGAGAAAGCAGACTCCCCCCTGAGCGCAGAGCCTAACCCTGAGATCATGACCTGAGTGGAAACTGAGAGTCACATGCTTAACCGACAGATCCACCCAGGCACCCCTGAGCCTCAGTTTTCAATCAGTTGGGGAGGAAAATACTGACTTCCCTTGAGGGAGGAGAGGATTTGGTAACATGAAGTCTATGATGCACCTGCCACACCAGAGGTATATGATGCTAGTTGCTGCCCCATCTAAAGTGTGGTGCCTCTGATTACAGTATTCCAGATGTCACCTGAGTGAGGCAGACACCTGTTGAAAGAAGGAAATTTTCCTGATGGTAAGAGAAGGATGAAATTTTTAAAAAATTTTTTATTAAACTATAAGATATGTGCTGTAGAGTGTACTCAATCTTAAGTGTGCAGCTCGGTGGATTCTTACATATGTATACACCTGTGTGACCACCACTCGGATCACAATATAAAATATTTCCAGCACCCCAGAGAGGTGATCATTTTTTTTATGAGCTGTTTGAGGGGATGGAGAGCAAGCCATATGAAGGATTGGAACAAAAATACCCCAGACCCTGCAGAGTCCTGATTCTTTGTCCATGTCACGAAGGCCCCTGTGCAGCAATCATAGAGCAGTCGTTGGCTAAGGGATGCCAACATCCCGGTAGCCTTAGAAGAGCGTGTTACTAATAAGCACACCGTTTCCACGACAACGCCATACACCATTAGCAGTGAGGAAAGTCTTGTTATAACGATCATGACAATCATAATGATCTCTCGGATTTGGATCACCCCTCCCCCACCCCCAGCTCCAAGCTCTTCACACAAGCAAGCCCAGTGATGGGGCTTGTCTATTAATTAAAGGCCCCCAAGTGAAGACAACAAAAATCCCCATGACAATGCTGGGAACAATGGTTCCCTAATAGATGTCATTTTGGTATTCTTGATTCATGTACCGGGTCCGTGTGGACTTCCATTGTAGCTGTAGGAGGTTTATAACAAAGATGTATAATTACTCTTCTGATATGCAAATTTGCATGTAAGTTGCACTCCCACCCTATTTGTCTTGTCTCTGTCTAACTTAAGCCAAGCCCCATTATTCTTTGTCCCCAGGACTCCCCTCATTCTTAATTCCTTTTGACGTGAAGTTTGCCATCCGAAAATGTCCACCTGTCTCGGTCTTAAACTGCCCGTTACACGAGCATAGCTCCTAAAGAGACTGCCCTGGTGTCTATGAAATTTGGGAGTGCTTTCTTGTCCCTGGTAAGATCCATGCGGGGTTTGGACTTGGAAGGAGCACTGGACTGAGAGCCCGGGGACCTAGGGACCTGAGAGTGGCCAGGCTCTGCTAACTGGCCATGGGGGTGGGCTTTGAGTTCTCCAGGACAGTTTTCTCTTTTGTAAAATGAAAAAGATTAAAAAGATAATATCGTTAGGGCTTTTGTCATTTCCAGAGCTGACACATAGCACTTGTTCTATATCAAGCACTGAGTCAAAAAATGATGAACAGAGCAAAAGAGCCTCAGTTTCCTCCTTGTCTGACAATGAGGGTGATGGTTTCTGCCCTGGCAGGTAGTGGGGGTCACATAAGAAGAAGACACAGGGACAGTACTTGGCCCAAAGCTGGGTGATTAGTGCTAGTACCCTCCCAACCTGAATCCATCCTATCGCTTGATGAACATTTATTGGGCAACTGTTGTATACCTTGCACTGAGGTAAGGGCAGGGGGTTCAGCTGTGATCAAGTAGAGTCCTCACTTCACAGGGCTCACTTTCTGGGGGGAGGGGACCAATCACCTATAAATTAACCAATGGGTCAATATTTCAGGGGGGCATGAGTGCTATGAAGGAAATTAGAGGTACCGGATTCAAGTGATGGCAGATGGGAGGAGTTACTCAGGGGAGTCCCAGAGGCCTCTCTGGCTGGGGGGCATGTTTGACCAGAGGTATGTAGGAAGTGGGGAGAGGGAGCTTTGTGTGTATCTGGGTAGAGTCAGGGGAGAGCATTCCGGACAGGGGAACAGTAGGTGCATAGGCGGAGAAGAGGGTGCATAGTTGCTGTGTAGAGAAGGGTGGGGGGGTGGAGAGTGAGGGCAGAGGGTAGGAGGCAGGCTGCAGACACAAACAGGCAGGTCACAGAGGGCCACCCAGAACTCGGTCCTGGCATACGCTATTTCCCATGGAATTACTAGAGCCTCTTTTACTCTCCAAGTCTGTTTTGGGTAATATATCATCTCGTTGCCTTTCCTTATGGAAAGGATCTTGACTTTTGCTCGGGGTGAGATAGGAGCATTGGAAGGTCGTAAGCACAGGCGGGACATTACCTGACACAAAAATTCAGAGGGGTCAGGCCAGCTGCCATGGGGAGAGCAGGCTTCAGGGAGCATGGGCGTCATTCTGTGGTCCTGTCAGAGAATGGCACCCTCCAAGGTGTGCAGGAGAGATGCAGAAGCTTTTCTTCCTTGGAATGGAGGGGCCCCAGGCAGAGTATTCTCTTCTTAACAGGAAGTGGTGGACACCAGGGCCATGGGCAGGCAGTGGTGTGCCCTCAGTTGGTGGATTGCACTTAAGAAACCAGTCTGTAGGGACACCTGGGTGGCTCAGTGGTTGAGTGCCTGCCTTTGGCTCAGGTCATGATTCCCGGATCCTGGGATCGAGTCCTGAATCAGGCTCCCCATAGAGAGCCTGCTTCTCCCTCTGCCTATGTCTGTGTCTCTCTCATGAATTAAAAAAAAAAAGAAAGAAAGAAAAGAAAAGAAACCAGTCTGTAGACACCAGCTAGCAGCATTCCACCTGCCCTG